TGTGTGTGTGTGTGTGTGTGTGTGTGTGTGTGTGTGTGTGTGTGTGTGTGTGTGTGTGTGTATGGTTGGAAGTTAATTGGGAACCAGAGGCAGCTGGCCAGAGTCCTCTCAGGAGTTCATTTAAGAACTACATCTTTCAAAGATTGCTTCTCTCTTTACTTAAAATTAGTTTTTCTTACGTTTTGGTTTAGCTAAAAAAATAAATAAATAAAAATAAGTTCTTCTTTCCCTTTTTTCATTTCAGTCTCTGAGCCAGGCCATAACAAATCTGAATGTCCCATGATGTCATTTATTGCGTAAGGTTAAATAAAGCCTCAGTTTAGACGTCAGAGCTCCACAAAATCAGCTGTTAGAAAGTAAATAAAAATCCACCAAAYGAAACCTGTCAGAAAGAAGCAGATCAACCAAGCAAGGACAGCATCAGGAGGTAAATCTGAAGATGACGAAATAATCATGAAGAAGATGTAAAGATGATCTTTGTGGGAAAACTGAAGCAAGAAAGAATGTTTGAAGTTCACTGGGGAGGATGTGTGTTTTTTTCAGGTACATATCTCAATTCTATACCAGAATCAAGTAACTGCTACCTTCAGTTGTTATGAAAATGCTGTTTATATTAAAATTCAATTTGACTTTGCATCATAGCCTAAACACCTTGAAATTAGTCTCTGTCTCTTTAAGAAACTCCTACCATTTCTGACACTCCCACTTCAGCACATCTTCATAATGTTTTGGAAGAAGGGTGCTCTCTGCTCAACTACAGACTGAGCTGCAGGGAGGAGCTTTGTATAAATAGGTGGAGCTTTGTACCAGCAAATGTTTAGGCAGCTCCAGGTGGCTACCACAGGAGATTCAAGGATTTCTCAAACATGCATGAATGAGTCAAAGCAACACTCTGTATGCTTTTTTTTTTTTGATGAGGGAATGACATAATATGATATAAAGCTAAAAAAATGACCATTTTGCATACCAAATGGAAATACCACCCCCTTTAAAGTGACACTAGACTCTTACACAAACATAAAACGTAAATTTACTCAATGACTATATTTAAAAAGAGAATAAACAGTTTGAGAATCAAACGTCACATACTAACCCCATTTTTTAATTTCAAAAACCAGCTGATTTTTATTTGGTTGTTCAAAGAAAGCTTTTTTTAAGAAAAAAAAAACATTCGTGCTTTAAATGAATCCAGAGGACAAAAAAATTACTTAAATACCCAAATAAAGCCATAATGGATAAATGCCAATGTCTTGGAACAGCTCAGTTAAAACTTAGACCAGAATAAAATGACTATTTAACATCCTTATAAATAAGATGATTCATAATGTTAAAATCGTTCAGATACACTTTCATTTTATTCCCAATTAAAATAGACATTTAGGAGGTCATTTCAGGTGTTTTTCCAAGTTAATCCATGAGTTGAATGTACATCTTTGAGCTTTTTATGGACTCTTAGTTTAAAACTTGACAACTGAGAAGCAGCAGGAGGCCGAGCGAAGCTGGTGTCAGCAGAGACGCAGGTCAAGCTGGTGGCAGTAACCGATAGGCCGGCAGAGAGAAACAAGACAGCAGCGAATTCATTCAACCCTAACGGGAGCTCACCCATCAAACCCAGCGACCGTCTGAATCCGCTAGGTAGCATGAATGTGCTAATTACCCACTGAGACGGTGGCTGATCTATATTTAGTTTCAGGTGTTCTGGGTAAGTCTCGTCAGGCTTTGCACCACTGAATTTACATTCCGGTCACTCAGGAGAAGCCAGGATTTTCTCATTCTTTCTGGCACATTTTCTCAGCCCTGTCAAATGATAAGTGAACCATCTAAGCACTTATTATCAGATCTCTACAAAGATGTTTGGGTTTTACTCGAGCGCACAGAGAGGCTTAACCAGAAGCCAAGGCAGTGAAGAGTTTTTGCTTCTTTTTTTAAGCTTTGGGAAATGTTGAGATCAAAAGGCAATCCATGCCTTCGATCTTTGTGTTTTATGCTCAGTTTTCTTCAACGAACCCTCTTTACATTTGGTCACATTCCTCTTATGTTTCTCCGATCCTCCTAAACCAAGTTTCCTTCAAGTTTGAAACATTTGTAACTGTAATTATTAAAAGGAAGGGCTTCAGGGAAAATACATGGAAATACAATATGAGAAACAGGAAAAACAAGAATATGCAAATTATTTCATCCTGTTATCTCCTGTTGCTAAAAGTGAAAGGGTAAAAATGAAAGCCAATTAGTGAACATAAAATTTTCAATAACTCGGTCTGCCTGTTAGCAAAATATCTCATGACAGATGTTAAGGAAACTTACAGAAATAAATCATTGATCGTACATCTACAATCAACTTTTGAAGTAAACCCATCAATGGCCACCAATTAATCCTTGGAAACACAAAAATGTCTTAAACTCAGTCGATTTTAAAGATATTGAGCTACAATCTGTGTGGTAGTAGCTGATACTAATCCACGTTTTATGCACCATAATATGCACAGTATTTTTGCTTCAAAGTTTTACCATACCAGCTTTATTCATAAAGCACTATAAACAACCATAGGGCCAAAGTCAGTTACAGTCATTAAAACACAACAGTAGTCACGGTGCATAATAAAAGCCTAAATGAAAAATTAAAACAAGAACACACAAAACCAAAAATCAACATCTCTGTGCCAAAAAGCCAAGGAGAAGAGATGGGTTTTAAGAAGTAAACAGACTGAAGAAGCCTGTTTGATCCCCAAAGGCAGGTCATTCTGCATTTTAGCAGCAGCATCAGAGATATTAACGTTTGGCTTCAAATCAGTTTGTCTGATCACAAAGTATCAAAACACAACAAGAGCAGATGATAGGCATTCCTTTAATTCATTTAAGTTTTAGACACAAGAAGCCTTTTGTCCAACTTTGAAAAGTCCCGGTTGAATATTTTCTGTTGCACTTTGGATGAAATATTCTCCCACAATTGGTTTCCACATCATTACTGTACCCTTCAGGGAACGCACGACCTCGGTGGGGAATGATTGCATGTTTACGATTTAATGAACGGCCTCCAGATGGTTGAAAGGTTGAGGGTGAAAACAACACGAGCGGCCGTGAGGAGCCGCGCGACAAAGGGTCACTATTCATTTGTGTGCACAAACAACAACTTTGCGCACACACACACACTCATACACACGCACACACACCCCTCCGCTCAGAGTTATTGAGGAGCTCCAGCCACCCGTATCAGTCCAGCTGTTCACAGCCGTGTTACCAATTAGACCGGGTCTCCATCTGCCTGTAGTGGAGAAAGTGGAGTGGAGAGCAGCTCACTGAACCATCCACCAGTTAATGAGGGGTGCATGTGAAAAAGAGACAGCTCAACAATACGGAGCAGAGAAGGTGCTGCGTTTATCTTTAAAGCCAAAAAAAAAAAAAGGCAAGATACCTTCAATTAAATATGTAAAATAATCCTGCTACACATACTGTATGTGTTCATTTTCCTTTCACTGCCTCTACACAGGTTGTCTAACAGCAAAAACAAATCAATACTGAAGGCAGTGAGTACACAGCATTCACATCAATAGGCTGATTTATTACAGTAGAGGAAGCTATTTTCAAAATAAGGTGAACAATGTTGCATCCTGGATTCAGAAGATTTGATCAGATTCTAAATGGAAACACACTGAAACCAACGAGCTCTTCAGACCTGCGCCTGAGCCAGAAATAAAATCTTCAGACACTTTGACAGGCTTGCAGATTATAATCCTGTTCCTGCATATATCCTTTCTGTATGTATAAAAAGTTGAAGGAGAGCAAAAGGATTTTATT